ATACCTGACGTTCTACTTCAACGTTACCTGACCAGTCTCTATCTGACGTTCTACTTCAACGTAACCTGCCAAATCTCTATATGACGTTCTACTTCAACGTAACCTGCCCAGTCTCTATCTGACGTTCTACTTCAACGTAACCTGCCCAGTCTCTATCTGACGTTCTACTTCAACGTAACCTGCCCAGTCTCTATCTGACGTTCTACTTCAACGTAACCTGACCAGTCTCTATCTGACGTTCTACTTCAACGTAAGCTGACAAGTGTCTACCTGACGTTCTACTTCAATGTAACCTGACCAGTGTCTACTTGACGTTCTATTTCAACGTCAGCTGAAAAGTTTCTACTTGACGTTCGACTTCAATGTATCCTGACCAGTGTCTACTCGACGTTCCATTTTGATGTAACTTGACCAGTGTCTACTTGACGTTCCACTTCAATGTAAACTGACCAGTGTCTACTTGACGTTCCACTTCAATGTAATTTGACCAGTGTCTACTTGACGTTCCACTTGAATGTAACCTGACCAGTGTCTACTTGACGTTGCACTTCAATGTAACCTAACCAGTGTCTAATTGACGTTCCACTTCAATGTAATCTGACCAGTGTCTACTTGACGTTCCACTTGAATGTAGCCTCACCAGTGTCTACTTGACGTTCCATTTTGATGTAACTTGACCAGTGTCTACTTGACGTTCCACTTCAATGTAACCTGCCCAGTCTCTCTCTGACGTTCTATTTCAACGTTAGCTGACAAGTGTCTACTTGACGTTCTACTTCAACGTAACCTGACCAGTGTCTACCTGACGTTCCACTTCAACGTAACCTGACCAGTCTATACCTGACGTTCTACTTCAACGTAACCTGCCCAGTCTCTATCTGACGGTCTAATTCAACGTAACTTGACCAGTCTCTATCTGACGTTCTACTTCAATGTAACCTGCCCAGTCTCTTTCTGACGTTCTACTTCAACGTAAGCTGACAATTGTCTACTTGACGTTCTACTTCAACGTAACCTGTCCAGTCTCTATCTGCCGTTCTACTTCAACGTAAGCTGACAAGTTTCTACTTGACGTTCAACTTCAATGTTACCTGCCCAGTCTCTATCTGACGTTCTACTTCAATGTAACCTGCCCAGTCTCTACCTGACGTTCTGACCGCCTCCGTGGTCTTGTGGTAGAGCGTCCGCCCGGAGAGCGGAAGATCCAGGGTTCGATCCCGGGCCGCGTCATACAAAAAGACGTTAAAAGATTGTACTTGTTGTTACCCTGTCTGGCGCTTGGCATTAAGGGGCTAAAACAAGGACTGGTCGGCTCGGAGTCAGTATACTGTGTCTGAGTGGGGTATTCATGTTAAACTGCGGCATCGTATCTCAGTGACCTAGCACTATAAATCGGCATCAGTCCGGACTAGTACAAGCAGCCACACACACACATACACGTGCATGCACGTCGCTTTATAAGTGCAATAATCTTGGACGCGACGTTAAACCCAATTTCACCTCACCTCACCTCACCTGACGTTCTACTTCAACCTAAGCTGACAAGTGTCTACTTGACGTTCTACTTCAACGTAACCTGACCAGTGTCTACCTGACGTTCCACTTCAACGTAACCTGACCAGTCTATACCTGACGTTCTACTTCAACGTAACTTGACCAGTCTCTATCTGACGTTCTACTTCAACGTAACCTGACCAGTCTAAACCTGACGTTCTACTTCAATGTAACCTGCCCAGTCTGTATCTGACGTTCTACTTCAACGTAAGCTGACAAGTGTCTACTTGACGTTCTACTTCAACGTAACCTGCCCAGTCTCTATCTGACGATCTACTTCAACGTAACCTGTCCAGTCTCTATCTGACGTTCTACTTCAACATAACCTGCCCAGTCTCAATCTGACGTTCTACCTCAACGTAACCTGCCCAGTCTCTATCTGACGTTCTACTTCAACGTAACCTGCCCAGTCTCTATCTGACGTTCTATTTCAACCTTAGCTGACAAGTGTCTACTTGACGATCTACTTCAACGTAACCTGGCCAGTGTCTACCTGACGTTCCACTTCAACGTAACCTGACCAGCCTATACCTGACGTTCTACTTCAACGTAACCAGCCCAGTCTCTATCTGACGTTCTACTTCAACGTAACCTGACCAGTCTCTATCTGACGTTCTATTTCAACGTAAGCTGACAAGTGTCTACTTGACGTTCCACTTCAATGTATTCTGACCAGTGTCTACCTGACGTTCTACTTCAACGTAACCTGACCAGTCTATACCTGACGTTCTACTTCAACGTAACCTGCCCAGTCTCTATCTGACATTCTACTTCAACGTAAGCTGACAAGTGTCTACTTGACGTTCCACTTGAATGTAGCCTGACCAGTGTCTACTTGACGTTCCATTTTGATGTAACTTGACCAGTGTCTACTTGACGTCCCACTCCAACGTAACCTGACCAGTCTATACCTGACGTTCTACTTCAACGTAACCTGCCCAGTCTCTATCTGACGTTCTACTTCAACGTAACCTGACCAGTCTCTATCTGACGTTCTATTTCAACGTAAGCTGACAAGTGTCTACTTGACGTTCCACTTCAATGTAACCTGACCAGTGTCTACCTGACGTTTCACTTCAACGTAACCTGACCAGTCTATACCTGACGTTCTACTTCAACGTAACCTGCCCAGTCTCTGTCTGACGTTCTACTTCAACGTTAGCTGACAAGTGTCTACTTGACGCTCTACTTCAACGTAACCTGACCAGTCTATACCTGACGTTCTACTTCAACGTAACCTGACCAGTCTCTATCTGACTTTCTACTTCAACGTAAGCTGACAAGTGTCTACTTGACGTTCTACTTCAACGTAACCTGACCAGTCTATACCTGACGTTCTACTTCAACGTAACCTGCCCAGTCTCTATCTGACGTTCTACTTCAACGTAACCTGCCCAGTCTCTATCTGACGTTCTACTTCAACGTAACCTGCCCAGTCTCTGTCTGACGTTCTACTTCAACGTTAGCTGACAAGTGTCTACTTGACGTTCTACTTCAACGTAACCTGACCAGTCTCTGTCTGACGTTCTACTTCAACGTTAGCTGACAAGTGTCTACTTGACGTTCTACTTCAACGTAACCTGACCAGTCTCTGTCTGACGTTCTACTTCAACGTTAGCTGACAAGTGTCTACTTGACGTTCCACTTCAATGTAACCTGACCAGTGTCTACTTGACGTTCCACTTGAATGTAACCTAACCAGTGTCTACTTGACGTTCCACTTGAATGTAACCTAACCAGTGTCTACTTGACGTTCCACTTCAATGTAATCTGACCAGTGTCTACTTGACGTTCCACTTTATGTAACCTGGCTGCAACCGTACTACTCCATTTCACATACTCATGTAACGTAACCTGACTAGTCTTTTCTTCACCCCCTACTGTAATGTGACATGACAAGCCTCTACTTGACGTCCTTCTGTAATTTGACCTGACTAGCCTCTACTTGACGTCGTACTGAAATGTGACCTGACTAGACCCAGGCCTCAGCAACGCATTTTTGCCGTACGCGGCGACTAACATGTTCATGTGGTCAGGCTCGCAGACTTGGTTGAGGCATGTCATTGATCCCAATTATGCGGATCGATGCTCATGACATCAATCACTGTCTGGTTCAGACTCGATCATTTACAGAACGCCGTCATAAAGCATGTGTATTGCTCAGAGCGGCGTTAAACAACAAACAATCAAACAAAAAGTGACCAAGATTATGCCCAATGCAAGTCCCTGTTATGTCTTGAACCATATGCTCCCGTGTTTGTTCAGGTGAACAATAAGCTTGCCTTTGCATGTGTTTGGGACGGTGCCACCAGGGGAGCAAGGTCTGGCACCTTTTCGCGAACACTTGGTGTCATATTATTTAAAAATGAAAAATATACTGATGCTTCTTATGGTCATTAGTGAGTGAGTGAGTATGGTTTTACGCAGCTTTTAGCAATATTCCAGCAATATCACGGCGGGGGACACCAGAAATGGGCTTCACACATTGTACCCATGTCGGGAATCGAACCCGGGTCTTTGGCTTGACGAGCGAACGCTTTAACCACTAGGCTACCCGACCGCCCCCTTATGATCATTAATATAGTTGTGTGGCTTTTGTTCACATGACATTGTAATAATACCAACTGTGCACTAATGTCATACTTCGTTGGTCCTTCGAGTCATCACCGCCTCCGTGGTCTAGTGGTAGAGCGTCTGTCAGGAGAGCGGAATGTCGGGGTTTGATCCCCGGCCGCGTCATACCAAAAGACGTTAAAAGATGCGGCGTGTTAAACTGCGGCTTTGTATCTCAGTGAGCTAGCACTATAAAATCGGCACCAGTCCGGACTAGTACATGCAGCCACACAAACACGTGCATGCACGTCGCTATATAAGTGTAATCATCTTGAACGCGACGTTAACCTCACTTCACTTCACCTCACCTCTTTCTAGTCATCGAGTCAAACAAAAAGACGGAAAGACATATTGCAACAAGGGTACTAAATACGCCACAATGACGTCAAACAGTATACGAGAAACAATTACAGTAAACTACGGTTATAACGAACACGCTTATAACGAACTGACGGATATAACGAACCAACTTGTTAGTCCCGACTATTTGCTGTAGTTATGCTGTATATATGCTTATAACGAATTACGGTTATAACGAACTAAAATTAGTAGTCCCTTTGAGTTCGTTATAACCGTAGTTTACTGTATACTGTCATGTGGTTTTGTCAGACAACACCTGTAACCAAACTATTTAAGAAATGGCCGCCCGATGGCTACAAATAAATATATGTATGTACTTCATGTTTTAATGAACCCTACTACATGTTACCATGGCGATCAGTCATGTTTTATACGCCATCAATTGACGAGTCTCTAGATCTGTGGACATTTTACGCCAAGGACAACGTAGGTTGTGAATGATATATTTTTTTCTTTTGACAATATTCAAACAGGTGAGGCAGTTCTTTCAGCAACTGCCTCCTCGACTACTACCACTACTCCAACTACCGCAAGTACAACAACAACGACAACTACAACAACAACTACAACGACAACTACAACGACGACTCCAGCCCCTGTAAAAAAATCGAGTGATGAAGAAGATGACAAATAATATTATGTGCGACAGTCAGTGATCATTTGAGAGATAAACAGTGATCTTGTGGAAAAAAACAGTGATCTCATGAGAGATAAACAGTGATCTTGTGAGAGATAAACAGATATCTAATTAGAGATAAACAGAGCTCTTATGAGAGAAAGATATTGATCTTAACACAGATCTGGGGATGGGAGATTTGAATTCTGACAGTAACGTTTGTTTGTGAAATGTTTAAGATAATCATGTTTTCATTCGCTAAAAGTGTGAACATGTAATTTTGGCTTCAAAGTCGGATTAACTAATAATGCAGCGTGTCAGATTCGTGTAGGATAAACCGAAGTGAACCAGATTAATAGTATTTAATCATGTTGTAATACATCGTGTGCTAAAATACTAAAAAATTAGTCCGAAAGCACATGCAAATTCCATGAACTTTTATATGCGTCTTGTGGCACGGTAAACGTTACGTCACAACCCGTGAAAGATTCGCACCAACTCATTTTCTTATATCTCCTAATACAAATGTAGTTACTGTACCATTCGGGATTGATAAAGGACTACTTGCGAGGTTTGTTATTGTCTGACAGGTGTCGATCACGTGACCTGCACCCTTGCCTTTGACCATGGCGCTCTGGATTAGGGATAAAACAAAGACTGGTTAGCCCGAATTCAGAATATGAAGGATGGTATCAGTCTTAAACTGCGACATGATATCTCAGTTGGCTAGCACCGGTTTAAGTCCGGACAATTACAAATAGACACACACACACACACACACACACACACACACACACACACACACACACACACACACACACACACACACACACACACACACACACACACATACAAACAACGACTCAATGTGACGTTCATACGTTCGTTTTTCACGAGAACGTGTTCTTGAAATGACGTAAACACTAACGGACTACTTCCACATTTCTGGGAAAACCCTGGGAAATCCGAAGCTCGAATAAGCACGGAAGCGTTCCATCTGATCATTTAGACCCTTTCATTTTGAACGTTTGAGTATACATTGAGAAACTTCAGGGAGTTAACTGCTCGATCGATACTTGATGTAAATGTATTACGACGCGCTGTCATTGTGACTGACTTTCTGAAGTAGTTCTTTACAGACCTTTCTCATCTAATGGTGATGCTATTTGAATATATGTGTTGCTTAAGATGTTTCTGAAGTGCAAGTTGTGCATACATACGCTCATGTCACCTATCTTTTTAAGGAACTACTTTACTCCGCGATATAGTTGGTTGTTGTATGGCTGTCAGTGTAAACATGAAGTCATACATATTAAATAAAATTGTGTATAGATCTTGGCCAACATTCTTTGAGGTAAGAGTGAGTGAGTGAGTATGGTTTTACGCCGCTTTTAGCAATATGTCAGCAATATCACGGCGGAGGACACCAGAAATGGGCTTCACACATTGTACCCATGTCGGGAATCGAACCCGGGTCTTCGGCGTGACGAGCGAACGCTTTAACCACTAGGCTACCCGACCGCCCCCTTTGAGGTAAGAAAGTGTGATAAAAAATTATAAGAATTGACTTTAACTAGGCGATTGTTAATTGGAGTATGAACCTTCATAGAGTGCGGGCTAGACTGTACGTTTATACAATGTTTGCCCTCTCTCTATGAAGGGTCATACTCCATTGAACTCACAGAAAAGTGACAGTCCATTCGTAAATGTAATTACTATATATTTGACACTATGCATTAATAAATAACGAGGATTGGGTGCTGAACGCCATGCCCAGGAGAAGCAGGTCCCAGGAGAACGAAATGACAGCTGTAAAATGTCCCTAAACAATTGATGTCAATGAAAATACATCGCCTCTTGTTCAACAGACGAAGTGTCTATCAGGTAGCTGATATTTCACAATCAAATAACTTGCGAAGATGGTGGGAATAATGAGGGAGTGACTCGTGTCAGCCCAGTTGATCTTTGACGTTTCCATCTTTGGTGAAACTCATGACAACGGGTATGGCGCTCACAAACCTTGAAACATTATCAGGGCGAATCTGGGATGCGAACCCACGATCATAGGTGTCTGAAATGCGTAATGGACGCACCCCTACATGGCGAACCCGAGCATCTGGAGAGATGGTAAAATGATGACAATTTCAGAGTTATCTTTCAGTCCAATACCTTCACATGTCGTGGATGAATCTTCCCTTAACATGTCTTGATCCAAATTTCAGATATTTTATAGCGTATAAACTTAATGCGAGACATCAGACTAAGTGACATACATGTAGATTGAATATAAAACGTCAACGCCAGACAAAAACCAGCCTCGATTATCCGACGAAACAGATCCTGTTGTTTCCTCATGCTAAAACACAACCCCTTTCCAAAATAATACGTTTATTGCAACTGGCCATGGACAACTGCACTTACATATGGACATCCCGATACTGTACAAGTGGCAAATACATCGATTCAGTTAAATTCTGGTGTGATGATGCTGAAGACGATGAGAGAATCCATGCGGAATCCAGGTTAAAACTGATCCCTGGCACCCTGTGCTGGTCGTAAGAGGGGACTCAATGGATCGAGTGGTCAGGCTCGCTGACTTGGTTGATGACATATCAACTTTCCACGATGGCGTGGATCGATCATCATAATATCAATCACTGGATTGTCTGGTCCAGACTCGATTATGTACAGGCCACCATCACATAGCTGTAATATTGCTGGGTGCGGCGTTGTACGTTAAACTACCCTTCCAACAATAATGAGTGAGGCAATTGCAATGAAAATAACCATTTAAGATATGTCAAATTTGTTTTGCCTGTTATATCACGTGAGTAAGTTGGCTTAACTCCGCTTTGATCAATATTCAATTCATATCACGACGTGTCAGCTTAACGTGGGAGGAAAGCCCGAAGTGATACAGGCCTATTTCACTTTAGTTAAACCAAAGAAAACGCGAATGGTACTGACAAACCTAGAAACATAATCGGGCAAATAGGATTCGACCCCAAGGTTAATAGTGTCCAAGGGACGCAACTCTGCACAGTGAATTGCAGCGCATCAGAAGACTTGACCACCTCTGCCCCCATTATATTAAATGTTCATTGTAAATTGAAATGTTTTGAAGAATGAGTTTTCCTTAACGCTGCTTTGAACAGCATTCCAGTTATATCACGGCGTGACAACTTGATCTGAGAGGAAAGTGATGCAGTCTTAGACGTTACGAAACCCATAACCACCGACCTAGTTCTGACAAACCTTGGGATGTCTTTGTTGTTAAACGTTTTCGTGATTCCCATGAACACGGATATGGTGCCGATTGACTAAGAAACTACGATTCAAGTCGGGGCGAGTCCACGTTTCGAACCAACGATCACAGGTTTCAGGCACGGCGAATTCCGTCGCCTTTGACGACTGGTCACCACACTGCCTCTGTTGTAAAGACGGCACATGTGTAATGTTTTAATGACCTATGGTAACATGGGAAAACATTTTTCAGCTTGCTTAATTTCTTCACATTGAAGGAGAAGCTAAATTGTCCAGGCAATAGGGGTTTGATTATTGACTTTCAAAATGAGCTGCTACACTTTCTTGTTTCGAGTACCTTTAAACACGTTACAAATGATAAACTTGACCTACAAACTACTGACGACATTTGCTCATACACATTTATCTTCAACCACTGCGGCTGAATATTTTACTTAAATCAAGTACATGTACATTTTCATGGAGTATAACTCATACAGATTTTCGCTAATATGCTAACTTCAAAAGATATACGTACTCAAACTACTTTTTAGGGAGAACATATAATGAGGAGGGAAATGTGTCTTCCCTCTAAACACAATCAAACGTATCATAGCTTGACTTCAGCAGAGAAAACCTATTTCCATGGACAAATTCTTATACATGATAAAGTACGTTTGGGAGGGGTGATTGACATGAAATATTTTCCCTCCGAATTATCTAACCTACACCAGCGTACAGTTCATCAACCGAACATCACATCCGCAAAACCGACCTATTGCAAAGAAGTCAGAATCTCAGAAACTACTTTTGAGGGAGACCAAATTTACTAACATAAAATATCTCCCCTCCCAAAACGATCAAACTTAGCACAACACCAGCCAAGAGAATAAACAGAGCGGCAGAGAACCTGTTGAAGGACAGCTGGGTCTCCAACCTTATTCCTGAAATGCCAAACACATCCACCACGGGACTTCCCCTGATCTTGATTTCATTCTTTCCACCATAGCTACATTGGTAATTCTTCATCCATTTTCTTCTCCTGTTGGACAGATAACTGTTCTGCTTCAGTTTCAGGATGTAGGGGTTGAGAAGGGTACATACATCGCTGTTCTGCCCGCAGGCGAATCCGTAGGCTCTGTCGTCCAAGGGTTCTCCAACGACCATGGTGTCGCAGGGATATTGACCAGAGAGGAACTCAGCCGTAGGACCTTCCATGATGAAAGCGTAGTTTTCATTTCTGACGCGGGCCACACCTTCACTCACGCTCTTGGCCATCAGGGTGGCGTCGGAAGACATCTTCTTCCACAGGCGTTGTTCCAGAGGTCTCTTGGACTTGGAGAAGTAGTAGTTGGTGTAGCCTTTAGCCAGAGTGCCGTACTTGACGTCAGTTTGCTTGGACAGCTCGTCGAAGGACATGAAGGGGATGGTGCGAATGTCGGGGGGTCTGACCAAGAGGAACGCTGTGAAGTTGGCGGCGAATGTGGTAAAAACCAGGGTGGTGAAAATCCACCAGAAGATGGACATGATGCGGCCAGAAGTGGAGCGTGGAACCCCTGCTCTCTCTGGAATAAGAGGAAACGAAAGTTTACATTTTTATTGCATGTAGATCATTTTCACACTTACATGAAAAGCATATGACATGTTGACCAGAAATTATAAAATATATTGCTGGTCATAGCAGCTGCACAATTTGTTACATTATAGTATTCTGACAGTTTAAGTTGAATATTTTGGAAAGTGTGCAGTTTTTGCTTTTTATTTTCGTAAATGAGTATTTTAACAAATATAACTATGATGTGAAAGTGAATTTGTTGATGTGTGACCAGTCTAGATGTCAAAAGAGTTGCATGAAAACTTGATGTTTTTAATTCCGTTGATGCTATCACAAAAAAATGTACACTAATTGGTCATTATCAGTATTTTTTGTTTAACGCCTTCCTCAGCAATATAACGATTGCTATATAACGATGGCTTTTAGTACATCGAGTCTGGATCAGAAAATCAGAGTGCAACGAAACACGCCGTCGGGGTACGGTCACGCAATCAACCACGTCACCTTGTTCACCTGATTCATTTGGTCGCCTCTAACGACCAGCACAGGTCGACGGGACATGTCCAGCATTCATCACTGTATGTGTTTGAAATGGGAAATGATTATGGGAGGGGCATCGTTCCACGCCGTCCGATCGATGGGTCGTAGCATCCATACATAGTATTTATCATGTCATTACGGTGCCCATTGATGTAAATGCTTTGTGTAGGGTACTACCTTCAACGAAACTCAAAGCATTGCGGTCCAAGAGAGTCGACGTGTCTATTGTACCGAAGGAATATCTTGGTACTTTAACTTCGCATGATCACAATACTGTTGTGTTAGGGTTAGGGTGCAGAACACTGGAGAATAACGTTTATTTTTACTTTTTGACCAGTGATAGCTGTACTTGTCAAACATTTGCAATGAAAAAGGAAAGGTTTTATAAGGGGATTTTGGGCGGGCCGCATGATTTGCATGGCTTAAAAAATGAGCAAATATATATTTTTAGATGCTGTGAAAGTGGTGAGGTGAGGCGAAATGGAGGTTAAAGCCATTCAAGATTGTTACACTTATATAGCGAAGTGTGTTAGAACAGAAATCAGATATTTTCATGTAAATCAGAACAAGACTTTCTCAATTATAAAAAAAATGCTCACTTTATGGCCTGGAAATGTGTCCAAACTAACGGTTTACTTTCTCCTTTAAGGGAAATTAATTTTATGTCTTGAGGTAGTGAGTGAAATACATATATAATAACAAAACCTCATTAAATATGAATAGGCATATCCCAAGAGCAGCCAACAGAGTATTGTTGAACAACATTTCAGCAACAGTGTAGGCCTAGATGTCGTTGGTGTGCTAGCCACGCTGTCCTCACCTTGGTGCATGAAGGAACTGATGGTGTAGACGAAGGCGTTGATGAGCGTGGTAGTAAGAGGGATGTCGTCGCCGACGTGGGGGTTGTCCTGAAGTTCCTCATACGGGCTCAGCTTCCCGATGGCGAAGAAGATGAGGCTGGCCACAACAAAGGATGCGAGGATCATGAACCACAGTCCGGTGGTGAAGGGCGAGAGGAGGATGAGGAGGGACTGGTTGTACATGGACGTCGTGGGCTTCTTGTACAGGATGCGGATGCCGGCGTCCATGATGGGCTGGGAGAAGCTGATGACGCCGGCCCTCCTGGAAGCGATGGTAAGAGGAGCTGCAGCGATGTCTGCCACCTACAGATAATGATAATAAAAATAATGATGAGTACCCGGTCAATGGAACAGTGTGCACTCGAATGTCATTCTCAGCTCCCTGGGCAGTATACAACCCAAGCTGCCTTATGCCTTACGCTAGGAAGTTGACAGTCGAAAGTGGTTGAGTGCATCACGCTCAAAGAATTTTAACAAAGAGACCCGGCCGATCTGTCTGTAGTCTGTATGTATTTAAAGAATTCAATGGGGTTCTTTTGGTACCAAAAAGGTGTTAATCTCGAAGTATCGTTACTTTTTGATGAATGAAAAACATAGTTCCGGCTTGACCTTTGCGTTAGTGCAACATATAGACAGTTACAGCATCCATGTTACAGCAAACATCTGTGGACAATTCTAATATTTAACTCATCCTGCCCTTCCCGATATTAACCCTTCTCCACAGATCCCTAACCCTGACATCTGTACCCATCTGTACCGCGTCGACCTCACGTGTGGTACTGTGGTTCCAGATCATCTGGAAAACGTGCTCGTGTCTCGTTATCACCTTTTCTCGGTTGCTCGTGTCCAAGAGCCTATCGGTCACTCCTTCCCCGCTCTGACCCTCGAGACCCTCGCCAGTGAGGTACCACCTGCTCCTACTCATCTCCGTCATCCCCTGCCTCATCTTCTGCCCTCCGTACCTTACTCCCACATAGATCTCCCCTGTACCTGTCTCCGTTAACCCCCCTGGTGCCCCTTTCTGCCACGCCCTTTCCATCTCTGCCCGAGGTCCACTGGCTTTAGTCTCCCTCTTTCATTATCACCTTTAATGTAGCAGACTCCATTTTATGATTAAATAATATAAAAATTAATGGTATTTGATTAGCTAAGTAACGCATTTGTTTTGCTGTTACGTTTGCAGTAACCTCAACAAAAGAAGACAACGTCCGTTAGCGTACTGTTTCGCTGAAGTTTATCACCCGATGAAAGAATTCCTAAGTAAATAACGTCTCACACTACCATAAGCAAACAAATTATTTTTTAAAGCTATGTTCCAAAAATGTTATAAAAAAGACGTTTGGTATGCATTCGAAAATAAATATATCTGTGTGTTTCTTATAAATTATCCTTTCAGGGCATATTGGAAACACGACTGCTTCCAGCTGAGCACCCTGCATAATCTCTCTCCTCTACTTCCATTGCTTCTCTTCCTTCGATCGCTCCGTACCACCGCCCCCCTCGCGACCCCTTCCCAACACACACACACATGCACGCACGCACGCACGCACGCACGCACGCGCACCCTCTCGAACACTTCGTTCCAGGCTGTCACATACCACTTATACACCCCTTTATTTCCATTGGCTGTGCAGAGGTAGGCACGCCAGAAACCTATGATTGTGGGTTTGAATCCCGGTTCGCCCCGACAATGTTTCTAGGTTTGTCAGCACGATACCCATGCTCGTGGGTTTCACCGAAGTGGTAAACGTCTGAGACCTGCATCACTTCGGGCTTTCCCCCCACATTAAGTTGACACGCCGCGATATAACTGGAATACTGTTAAAAGCAGCGTTAAACCCAACTCACTCACTCACTATTTCCATTGGCTATCCCTCGTTGACGCTCCCCCCCCCTCCCCCCTCCGGCTACTTACGTTATTGATCACCTCCCCGATCATGCCATTCCATTGTCCGGGGGATGACTCGAAGCCGTATTGGTTGTCGTTGACGACGTGTATGTCAAATGTGAAGTTGGCTTGACGAGCGATCTTGGAGATGATGTCGATGAGGATGCCCTCGTACCGGTCACCGTACCTACTCTGTGAAATGTTGCTATTGACAACCACCAAAGGTGGTGCCTGAAAACAGAAATTAGGAGTTAGCAAGTTAGGTACCGATGAAAACCTCGAAAGATTAAAACTTCAACGACGTCCACCATTTCTTCTCAGCCTACTATTTTTTTACTTTCAACACTAATCAAGGCAATATCAAATTAAGTTGGCGAGGTTCGAGTTATCCAATCAAACGACAATCATGAGGTCATCATTTTAAGACACACGTGTGACGTACAAATTTAGTGAAGATTCCAGGGTAGAATAGGTCTTCAGCAATCCATGCTTGCCGTAAAAGGTGACTAACGGGATCGGGTGGTCAGGCTCGCTGACTTGGTTGATGCAGGTCATCAATCCCAATTGCGTGGATCGATGCTCATGATATTAATCACTGGATTGTCTGGTCCAGACTCGATTATTTACAGACCGCCGTCATATAGCTGGAATATTGCTGAGTGCGGCGTTAAACAACAAACCAACCAACCAAACCAACAAATTTAGTATCTCATCATGAGCCTCTTCAACCTCTGGGTAATACAAGCCAATAGATGTCATCGTTGTAGCATGTACAGTTATGGAATTAAGTTATACTGTTATCGGTACTTCAGGTCCTTATTCTGTGTTTATGTTATGAATGAGTGATTGTGGTTGGTTTGACGCCACTTTGAACAGTGACGAAAGCCCAAATGATGCAGGTCTCAGACATCTACCGCTTTGGTTAACCCCCTGGATGCCACAGGGTCATATATGTCCCTCCTCTACAACCCTCACTTTGAAGTCGAATAAAATTCAAAATACATCACGCACACAACCTAAGGACTAAGTTATAGGTTAGATCAAGCCATCCATTTCTCTATTACCTCCTTTTTATGAAGTACGATTTCATCATTTCTTATGGGTATATTTTATAACTAAACGTCTGCAGTTTCAATGTCGATATTTGTGTTGGAATAGTTTGGTTCCTCCTGAACAAAACACCACTAAAATATATTGTCCTTACCCACAGCTAATTCTCATCAAGTGACCTGAGTTACAACAAACTAGAGCTAAGCATAGTGGAGTTATGCCCCCTTTTTTTGTACGTGTGTAACCTCTCTGTCGCCTTTTGACGTTATAGAGAAAAATCAGTTTTCGTCATTTACGGCATGCTATTTTTGGAATTGAATGTTTGTCGTTATACATACGCATATAACTCCATTTCAAATGTAGTTATGTCGTTCAGATATTAGGCAGTATTTTGTTCGCTCACTTTTTCGGTAAAGCGTCTAAATACAAAAAATCGTCTCACAGTACTTTTATCGGTGTACGATAAAAAGCGGAGAAATTGACTGTTTTTCAACGCAGAATAAATTCTCGGACAACACTTAGAAGTGTCTTATTTTAAAACCGGTTAATTATTTGCAGTTAAATTTACACCATCAAATAGGAAATTTAATATTCTCCAACTCTGCGTAATTGTATAGCCAGAGGTAGATCCAGCGCCGCATGAGCGCAATTCTCGCACAACCTTCACTTTTCCGATCTTAGGAAAATGTGCCTCAGGAAAAAACTCGGCATCCAGAGGGTTAAACCCACGAGCATGGGTATGGTGCTGACAAACCTAGAAACATAATCGGGGCGAACCAGGATTCGAGCACGATCACGAGTTTCTGGTGTGCTCAAGGGACGCAACTCTGCACAGCGAACTGCTGGGCCTCCTGTAACCATTCGCAGCCGGACATTACGATATGGAATTTCAAAGTAACATGAATGGTCGCCTGGTGATAAAACCATTTGCACGTCGCGCCTAAGATCTAGGTTCGATTCCCAACATAGCAACTGATTACACTGTGTAAAGCGGCGCAAATATTTATTCACTCACATATTCGCCAACGCAGCACAGAACAGATCGTCACGTATTCTATGAGGACATACATTCGACTCAAAACCTTTTGCAAGTCAAATTTGCAATTACTTCTTGACAATACATTGTATACATCTTAGACTATCCGCACTGCTGCATCCCAGGGAAATATAAATAATTGATCATATGTCATGTTTCTTCTCTGAGATAAAGTAATTGACATACCTAGGAATCATTGATCAGAATCGACTCTGAATAAGATAAAATGTTTACAAATTGAATTCTACAATTTCCTTTCCCCTTGGGTATTTCGCTCTCTTGAAGTGTCATTTGTATCAGTTTGACTTTCAAAGACAGTTCGGGATGTGAAATATACTGAGTCAAATTAAAAACTTCACATTTTTAAAAGTAATCCCATATATGATATACAACGGACAAATGTATCAGAGAAGGTAATTTTTAATCATTAATGTCCAAAGAAGGATTTTAATTAACGGTGGTAACCATAATTTGTTCCTAGCACCTACGGTATCGGTAATAATATTAACAGTTTAAATCATAAGTCCCAAGCACGATAATCTGATGGCACACAAGTTCAGTAGCGTGGGTGGCCACCATGTGCGTTGACAACTGCCACACAACGCCTCCGCATGGACCTTGTGAAGCTTGTGAACACATCATTGGGAAGACGACGCCATTGTTGCTGCAAAATGGTGCCAAGATCTTGCAAATTCTGTGGTTGGTTCTGGAGAGTGCGCAGACTTCTGCCAAGAGTATCCCAGACGTGTTCGATGGGATTGAGGTCGGGAGACCTTGACGGCCAGTCCATGAGGTTGACTCCCGCATTCTGAAGGAAATTCCTTGTCAAAATTGCTGTGTGGGGTCTGGCATTGTCGTGTTGGAAGATCAAAGCGGGTCCATGTGCTGCCATAAAAGGCAGAAGTTCTGGTGCCAGTACCTGGTCGCGGTAAGCAGCAGCGTTGAGGTTGCCACGGATGACAAGAAGCCTGGAACGTGCATTGCCACAGAAAGCACCCCACACCATGACACTTCCGCCTCGAAATCTGTCAACTTCCTGTACACAACACTGGGCGTAACGTTCATGACGGCGCCTCCACACCCTCGCCCTACCATCAGCAAATCGAAGATTAAATCGGGATTCATCACTGAAGACAACTTGATTCCAATTCCTCTGAGTCCATCGTAAGTGTCGCTGCGCCCACAATTGACGTTGACGTCTGTGTAATTGAGTCAGAATCGGCCCGCAGTATGGCCGTCGTGCTTGAAGGTGAGCAGTTCTCAGACGGTTTCGAACAGTTTGCGCACTCAGTCTACCCCTAAACAGTTCATTTCTGGTTGATGTAGCTGTCAAAAATCGGTTACGGAGGTGACGTAAGACAATCTGACGATCCTCTGCATGTGACGTCACACGTGGTCGACCTGGCCGAGGGCGATCAGCGGTGGTACCCGTTTGCTGTAGACGCGTCTGTAAATCATAAACAGTCCGTGGACTACAACCCATCGTCCTTGCGACTTCAGCTACGGACGTTCCCGTCTGCAACATGCCGATGGCACGTTCACGTTGCACATTTGAAAGGCGTGGCATGACAAATGGCCGTAAAGACTTTTGTTTTCTTGTGTTTTTCTTTTTTTGTTAATACTGCTAACAAGTATGGCTGAAAACACGTGCGGTATTATGGCCACGTGACCAGTTGCACGTGAAAAAACACTTTTGCCACTATAGTGCTGTGCACATGATTTTGATCGATTCACCTGCACAAAAACGGGTGTTATCTGAAGACAATACGTGGCCATTACTGTTTAAATACACAATAAGGGTTAAAATTTGAGGATTGTGAAGTTTTTAATTTGGTTCAGTATATTTGACCCAATTAGCTTTTTTGACGTTACTATAATCCTACAATATACATTTGTGTACTATTGAATTAAAAGAGCAATGCCATAGGAGTGCCTCGTTTCATATCTCAGAAAAGATCAACAATAAAAGAAGGAGTGGATCGGGTGGTTATTTTTTGTGACTTCATCTATTGGGTGTTCTTGTAGTATTTGAGAAAAACATCGGGTCCAAAATAGGGAAAAAAACATAACGGTTAAGCAACTGTGACAGAACTATCATTAACATATGTGATAAACATTAATATTGACACTGTTCATTCATATCCATATGAAAATCCATATCATAATGTCCCACCTCTTTTAAAATAGGGGGTCAATAATACGAGGGACTTGCATCACTTCGGACTTTTCCCCCGCCATGATATTACTGGAAAACCGTCAAACAAAACTCGATCACTCTTCAAAAGATTAAATTTTCAATGAACAGTTACTGTGGTGGTGGCACGGGTGGGCCAGCCCTCTAGGACGCAACAATTCGCTGTGCAGAGTTGCGTCCCTTTGGCAAGCCAGGAACCTACGTTCGTAACTTCGAATGCGGGCTCGCCCTGATTATGTTTCTTGGTTTGTCAGAGCCATACCCGAACTCCTGGGTATCCTCAAGGCGGTAAATTTTTGAGATATGCATCACTTCGGGGTTGTCTCCCACATTAGGCTGAGACGCCGTGATAGAACTGGCGTAATGTTAACGCGGCGTTAAACACACTTCACTCACTATTAGATAGAGACCCAATGGCTTAGGCTTGTCGTAAGAGGCGATTTAATGGATCAGGACGGGTGGTCAGGCTCGTTGACTTGGTTGGACATTGCCGTTATATCAACCACAGATTTGACGAGACTCTGTTATATACACTCCGCCATCATATAGCTGGAATATTGTTGACGGAGGCCACAAACAAAATATGCGTATCAACCACGACTTGTTGACAAAACACGTATGTTTGTGTGATCATATGTGTTATGTATTGGCCCTAAAACAAATATTAAATTAAAGCAAAGTATTTAACAAATGGTACTGCCATGACAGGGCATCACTGCATTAAAACGTATTCGCTTTACCTTAAAATACAAGATAGAGGGTTTTTGGACACTATACGAGTGAGAAAGAGAGTTACATGTCAGAATTTGATATTCGGCGCGCGCGCGTGCGTGCGTGCGTGCGTGTCGTTGGGGGGGGGGGGGGGGGGGGGGTAAGTGGTGGTAAGAAACTGAACCAACTAAAATTAAGGTATATCACGGTGCGTCTGTTTAATGTGGGAGGAAACCCCGT